ATACCAGCGTCATGCGCATCAGCCCAATCTTTGTAGAGAACACTCCAACGCCAAAAGAGCCAAATTGCAACAGCAGCGAGAACAGTAGTCATCTAGGGGCCTAGATTCAGCCTAGAGTAAACTCCGAGCCAATTCCGAGCGAGAAGCACGCGGATTCAGCCTCGAGTAAACTCAAAGCATCCTCCGGCTACAATAGATTTCCACCGACAGAGCCAACAGCCATCTTGAGGCCCAGTTTCAGCCTAGAGTAAAGGGGCGAGCCAATTCCGAGCGAGAAACACGCTGATTCAGCCTCGAGTAAACTCAAAGCATCCTCCGGCTACAAAAGATAGCTACCAGCAACAAGCCACAACGGTATGACCTTCCGTCGGCCGTAGATCCATTATTTTTTTTTCCCAAAATTTTTCCACAGCCTAAAGAATTACTTCCGAACGCTAGTAAAAAGGGTACGCGATTCAGCCCCCTCGTGGGAATAGGTCCTAGGCAACAAGCATGCAAGCACACAAGCTACCCAAAACTTCTTTGAAACCCGGGGCACTATACTCAGTTCCTCCAAGTTTACTCGGTTCATCCAAGCCTCCGTCCAATTTCGATTTGCAAGCAATTCAAAACCTTTCCGCAGCGAGGAATTCCCAAGAGGTAATGGAAGCCCAACCCGTCCTTTCTACTGTTTCTAGTTCATGCACGAAAGAATTTCGCCGCAGCTCCCCGAGAGGAGCCGCTTTGATTTTCCCGAGAATGATTTCCAATTCGCATCAAGGTTCGAGCTACAGCCTTTCAACTGCAGCCTAACCGAGATGCCAACAAATTCGTTTTACTGAAATTGTTTTGCCAGGCTAGCAATGCGAAACTCACCCGAGAAATTACACCAGCAAGCTAGCGCAACTCCCGGGCAGTTTACAATGCCAACCTTCCTTGTGCTGATGAATATAGCCGCAACAGTACCGAGATACCGCGCAAGAAACACCAGAGCAGCACGAATTCATCATGAATTAAACAGTCACACCGAAGCGTAAAAGTACATCACAAATCGTTCCCTTTTCTACCTGGATTACCGAAACCCAGGCATATTTTTATTCCTTAACCCGTCCAGCGCCGGCGGCAGAGCCACAAGCACCTACTAGGACTAAGAAATTATAGACGCAAAAAAAAAAATTTTTTTACGCCTATCAGGATCGTCTTTTCATTTAGTTGACCAACTTGAATTTTCACTTTGGTCTCCATAAAGGTAGGCACAAAGCTACACGTTCCCAAATGGTAGAAACACTACAAAACACGCTACAGGCACAAAGTACGAGGTAAAACAGTGATGGAAAAATTCACCAAGAATTCTCGCCCGCAGATTAGACTTGGCTTCAGTATGGGCGGGCACTTGGTGAAATTCGATACTCCTCGACGGAAAATTTTTTTTTCACTCGATTCTTGTATTGACGAGGGGAAGTCAACTGACTAGTTCCCGGACTCTGAAACCTTATCGTTCATCAGATATCGAAGGTTTGTCGAGCGGTTGGCCCTAAATGGCCCAAAACGGAAATGCTCGTATCTCGGCAACCAGAAAGCTTTGAGCGCGCCACGACTGCACAGGCTGCATAACTTTTTAAGGCGCATCTTTTCATGTTTCAAGCCTTCGCGGAGTCACTTTCTGGATGGTCGACTAGTTACGTCGTATTATCGAGTCGCCACTTTGTTGGCCGATGTCTAGTTCGCCAAACCAAGTTGCTCGTGGATGCGAGATCGTCATGCATCTAGATGTAAAATTTCACGGGGAATCCAAAAATGCTATCAGAAGTTGGAAAATATTAACTTTTGGAGGAGTTATGGGCAAAATACCGTTTTCGGACCTTTCAGAACCTATATATGTCATTTTGGGCCTGAAGGAGTCCGATTTGAGCGATCGGGTGTCAAGACCAAAAAGATGCGCCGTGAAAAGTACTTCCTAGAGCAAGAACGACCCTGCACGAGAGCGCCCTAACCTTCATTTGGCTAAGCTTTGAAACTTTGCAGAAATACATGACGTCAAAATGGCGTCGTAGCGTCAAAATTAGCCCGATTCACGCGATCGGATGTCGAGACCAAAAAGATGCGCCGTGAAAAGTACTTTCTAGATGCAGAGCGGGCCGAGAGCCGGGGTATACAATATCTCGAGCAAAAAGCGGAAAACCGAAAACAGCGTTTTTCATCGGGGACCACCTTCATGTTGCTGGTAATGAGCTGCGTCGATATATGTAACGACCTTGCGAAGATTCGGGGCGGAACACGCTTTTATTCGTCGATTAGTGATTTTTTGATGTCCGGGACCGATAAATCGCGTCGCATTTGGCCTGTAGGCGGCAATTTCGTATTGTGACGACGCACACATGCTTGTACTAGTGCCATACGCGATAATCAAGCGCGACCCGGCGTCAATCCGATCTCTACAAGTGCAGTTTCAACCAATCGAGCATGCTGAGCTGCATACGGGATTGACTCAACGAAACGGGTCTGCGAGTCTTCCGAATCGGCGCCCATGCAGCCGAGCTAGGATATGCTTTGTAATGATGTTAAACAGGTGCTCCGAAAGTGGCGTCACGTGGGACGACCTGGTAGTGAAGACATGGAGGTTTGTCGAGCTCGCCGAGGCCTGTGCCGCCATCCTGAGACAGGCTGGTACGACATTTGCGGGTATTCCGAGTCGGCGCGCGCGCTATGAAGCTAGGATATGTTTTGTATTGATGTTATACGTGTTGTCTCCAAGTGGCGTCGCGCGGGAAGGCCTAGAAGCGGAGATATTGGCATGCGTCGAGCTCGCGGCGACGATTGCCGCCGGCCAGTCGATCCCCGAACAAGCCTGTGTGTGACACCATGTGGTAAAAAATTTCGTAATCAAGGATGTGTAAATGGATGTGCAAAAAGAATCAGCACGTGGACTTCCCCAGTGGTCACCCACCTGAGTACTACCCACGCTTGAGCCTGGTTAACTTTGCAGAGCGGACGGGATGCAGTCTAGTCAGGCTAATATGGCCGATTCTGGAACGGCCGCCTTTTCCATCGTATTTCCCAGTTCACTTTTTTACAGGCATAAGGGCCGTTCGAAAAGTGAACTGCCAAATTATCGTTTTGCAGAGTGCGACTAAACTATATTTCTGTGCTAGACTAGGCATAAGACGACTAGATATGCTATCTGCAGTCCATTTCGAGCACTTTGATCCGTGCACAGATCGATTCCCGATCCGTGTTTTGCTGTTTTCTCACTAAATACGACACTATGGACTATGTAACTCACTTTTATAACCTTTCTAGACAATTTGC